TATATATATATAAACTTGATGAGTAGTATTTCGAGCCAAAACGAGCCGAACACGAACGAACACATCTTAGTTCGTGTTCGGCTCGTTTACTTATCGAACGAAATTAACGAGCCGAACACGAGCTTCTTAACGAGTCGAACACGAGCTGTTCACGAACAACGAGCCGTTTTGACAGCCCTAGATACAATGTTGTTTCCAAGATGTCATTTTTCTATATCCATGTCATATTGTGTCAATGTTTCGTGTTCATATATGCGTGTCATGATAGAAATGTAAATACATGGAATGAGAGGTATCTATGTAAATCTTCATTTACTTTAAATAATTATAAAGGAGATTTACATGCCCTTGAACTCCAATTTGTCTCGGAACATACACATGAGAAGAGAAGAGAGAGAGAGCAAGAGCTAGAGTTGAATTGTCTCGGAACATACACATTGCTTTCTTGGTCCTAGAGGAAGGACCACCCCACTCATCCCGATCAATTGAACTTGTTATTCGATCGCCATGGTCATGCCCATCTCTTCCCTAGCCTTAATTAGTTTGATCAGACCATCACATGCTTACCGCCTAATTTCTATTAATTTTCATCTCTAATATGTTAAATTCTATGTTAAGAAAAGTAGATTCCAAGGAGAAGATAAGCAAGTAAGTTATATGAATAAGGTGAATAATAATTTTGCACATAATAAATAGAATTGTGTGTATAAATGCAAGTTTCAATTTAATTAGAATCATATTTAAAGTATTCAAATAATTAAATTCATTCATATTTTTATTGACAATTTGAATTCAATATAATCATCTTAAACAATGTAACATATTTTTAACAATATGTATGAATTACTTATACATTGAATAAATAATATGTATTCCCAATAATTAAAACAAGTAAATGAAAATTAAATAAATTAAAGATACAAGTCAATCATAAGTCACTCTCTTATGATACTAGTTGGATACACTATTTTTACCCATGCATAAAATTGAAAATGAAAAGCTTTTAAAAATAGAAATGACAATAAAAATATATGTACCTTAATTCATACAAAATTTTAGACAATACACATGAGATGGCTTCTTAAATGAAAATAATTTTATAAATGATATAAAATTTATAATTAAACAAAATTAAAGTTAATTAAAGGTATTTATAACATGAGAATTTAACTATTTTATCATATGCATGTTTGAGCATAAGCATAAGCATAGAAGATCTGTAATTATTCATTTACCATTTAACAAAATCTGTCAGTTTACTGCTTGTTTCAAGAGAAGCTTCCTTCAATGAAAATGTTTGAGAAAACATTTGTTTATAGAGAATTAGAACAAATGAACATAGGCACTATCTTTTGATTCTTTTTTGTATTAGTATTTTTACACAATGAATATTTTTATGTGTTTGGTTTCGTGTATATCTTACATATTTTGTGATTTAGTGGCTCTTTAATGGTTGAATGGATTATCATGTATATGTTTATATTGTATATCACAACCGTGAATGTGTGTTCCCGCCCTGAATACTTCAAATCATAGTGAATAGTGAATAACTCTCTACAATCATTTACTTCTTGTCATCATGGCTCCTCATTGGTACACCATCACCTCAATAAACAAAACATATTTTTAAAATATCAAACATATTTTATTTCATCACAATAACATAAGAAAAATAAAATAAAAATGAGCAACAAAAAAATGAAAAAGTGATCCCAACGTACCTTAAAGTACCATTATCAAAACAACAAGAATAAAGTGCAAAGATTATCAAGGGACTAGAAAATGATGCAACACAAGTAAATAGTATTGCAAGAAAACCAAACAAAAGAATATTGTTTCATAACTAGTTTAAAAAATATGAACTTTCAATCGTCATTGCAACTAGATGCGAAAAAAAATTAACATTCCAGAAGTGACTAATTGGGTGCTTTTCCAATTGAATTGCAATCAACTCATTATCAGAAGTTTCCAATCATAACAAGAAACTTGAAATATAAATATATTCCAAAATAGATAGAATTTATTGAAAATATGATAATTTTATTTTATTTTGAGAAGATAAAAAAATGCACAATTGGATAATATTAAAAAGAAGATAATATGGTGTAAGATGATCAATCATCACAGAGAGAAGAGAAAGATTATTATTATATATTTTTTAACTCTATGATAACTATTCTCTCAACCTTTCATCCTAAAAGTATGAAGATACTACTCATCAACTATTAAGTATTAACTTCAATGAAGCAAGACAATTGCCTTTTGAAAATGTATGACAAGATACATTTTCCTATCATAGTTGGACAATATCATGAATGCTCCCACCAAGCTCCCTTTTTTCAATCAAAAAGTAAGGAAAAATTGGGTATAACAAAAAAAAATCTAAGCTCGCAACAAAATAATTGAATTCAAATTTGATTTCGAGCAACGTTAAAATATTGTTGCAAGACTCAGAAGACAAATAGAACAAAAAGTAAAGAGAAGCTGACAGAAGAACTGAGAGATTATATAAGGAGTCACTAGGATTTCATTTAATTATTATTTATTTTATTTTTAATAGATTAAGTTTTTTTTATTTTTCCTAACCAGGATAGTCATAAATAAAAATCTATTGATTTATACACCTAAGTATATGACACGCCACCATTGTCGTCAGGGACAACAACTATAATCATTGACTCGTCGAGCTTCGAGTGTCATCGCTCACTCTGCTGGAAATCAACACTACCAACTCAAAACATAAACAAAAAAAATATAATATTAAACATGTTTTATTCGATGTTAAAATATAAATAAATTAAAATAAATAATAATAAAAGTTATTTCGAAGTACCCCTAAGGTAAAACTCTTCTTAAGCAAATTTAATGACAACTATTTTATAAGAAAAAATGTAACTAAATATCAGAATAAAATTAAGAAGTTCAGCTTGGGTAATAAAAATAATTTAATTTACTTAAAATGGGATGATAAATTTGAAAGGGCTAATAAAATTTATAAAATAAAATTGAATATAAAAAATGAAGTCAAATTATTATTATTATACCAATGTCGGACGCTTTTGTCATTGAGGTGCCATCGATCGAATTTGAAATCGTTATTGTTGTCGTTAACATGGAGTCATCAGCTTGTCTTCTGTTATTTTGAACTTTTCATCGAATGATTCTTCATCTTATAAGATGAGAAATTGATTGACTAGTTAGATAATAACAGGAACAAACAAAATGAAGTGTGAAGGAAGCCTTCTAACAGGTAAATCTTTGTATTGATTATTTTAAATTAGATGTCTTGAATGCTTCAAAGACACAATTATGAAGGAGACCATTCGAAAACTGATAACCAAAGAGTTCAGGTCGGTATAGCCATTCTAGAGTTCTTATCTTTCCTATAAGGGTATGCCCCTAGTTAATTACATCTTAAGTAGTCGAAGTAATTAAGAAAACCTTCGATTAGAGTTTAGATTTGTTCTCAGAAAGATAATTATCAAGAAAAGAAATGTCAAAGTTATGTCCTAAAGGTAGTAGATTCCTAAGGATTTGAAACTACTTTAAAGCATCGTTGATAGTTTAATTGAGGTTCATCTTTTACTTCAGGTTTTGAATGTTTGTTCCTGTTAAACAAAATTAGCACATTCTAATCACATGTAATGTAAAGCTAGGGTGATGTTTGCCTTTTATCTTCAACAGCCCTGCAAAAAAAAGTTAGCATGAAACAATTTATTTGCTAATTTAGTTTGTTTAACCTTTTTGATAACCCGACCAAGTTGTCTATGACTTTGTCGTCCTGGGGTCATCGGAGTACCCTGTTCTAGTTAGCTTGAGAGGTGGTCAACCTACTTTGACCAGAAGATTTTTTTTAGCAACCACAAATTGCTTCATCTAAGAGATCTTCGTAAACCATGATATGCTGGGTTAAAGTTGCGTTCAATAATCTTTATTCTTTAAAGTTTCAAATAAGTTTTAATTTTTTCTTCAAATTTTAGGAGTTGAAAAATTTTAGGTTGCTTAAGTCTTTTTAGCGAATTTTTTTGTCATTTTTGTTTATTTCTGTGTGGGATGACCTGATCAAGATCCCATTGTTTCGTCGTCTTGATTTATTAAGGTTTGTGGTTTGATTAGTCACGAGTGACTCAAAGATATTTTGTTAGCAACCATGGGTTACCTCCTCCAAAATATCTTCTCAAACTAAGTTACATTTTTAGGTTTCAAGTTTAAGTTTTAATGTATTTTAAGGTGAATTTTAAGTTAATTTGGTACTCTAACCCAAATTGTCCCTGACTGAGGTTAAGTGTGGTTTTATTCTCGTACGAGAAGTCAAAACCCTACTTATCCTTCAATCACCTTAGTTTATGTTGATTTTAGATTAGCTCACGTTGGATTGAGCTGATCTAAAGCAAGATTCCAAATTATTTGAGCTAACCTAAATTAGGTTGATTGTCCCTCGAATTCTTTTTAAATTTATTTAAACTGATCTTAGTTTAATAAGATTAACCCAAGTTTATTTTGATTAAAATCAAACAAATTTTACTTGCTTTTATTTGACTTAAGTTAAACAAAATAAAATCAAGTTGGTTAACTTAAGAATAGACCAGGTTAAGCTGAACTAATCTAAGTTCAACCTCTGGGATCAAGTTTAAGTTAATTATACTTGATCAAACTCTAAATTAATTTAGACTTGAATTTTATTTTTAAGTCCAAGTTAGGTGAGACTTAAATTAATCCATGATTAAACAGAGGTTAAGGCTTAGATTAAATTTGAAGTAGAATCTCGAGTTGGGTTAATCCGATATGGGTCGGCCTGGCCCAAAGATTGAGATAACCCAAGTTAGGCTGGGTTGACTCAGTTATTTGAGTTAACTTGAGTTAAGTTGGGTTGACCTAATGATTTGATTGATTTGGGTTAATACGAGTTAGGTCGTATTGACCTGATGATTTAGATTATTTGGGTTAACCCAAAGCCCAAATTAGGTTGGGTTGACTTGATAATTTGGCTAATTTGGTCTAACTCTAGACTTAGACCAAATTTAAATTGAGTTTGAACTAAGTCTAAGTTAGGTTAAACTTAAGTAAGGTCTAGGTTAGGCTAGACTTAAAGGTAGTTCAATGTGAACTAAGTCTGAGTGAAGTTAGACTTAGGATTTAGGTTCAAAGTAGATAGATCCTAAAATTTTGCTAAGTCTAATATATGTTAGACTTAGAGTTTAAGTTCAACACATTTAGAACCTAAAATTTAAGATTACGTCTAAGAATAGTTAGATTTATGGCTAATTTTAGGTCCAATTTAAACTTGGAGTTTAACTTAAGTTCATTTTTAGGTTGAACATAAGTTTAGGTTGACTTAGTTTCAATTTGGGTTGAACTTAAGTTTGGGTTGACTTAAGTTCAATTTGGGCTGAACGTAATGTTTAGGTTGACTTAGGTTCAATTTGGGTTGAACCTAAGGTTTAGGTTGAGTCCAAATTGGTTTGGACTTAGGTTTATGTTCAATTTGGGTTGAACATAAACATTTAAGGTTAATTTCAAGTTGGTTTGAACTTAGGTTTAGGTTCATTTAAGTTTAACCTAAACATTTATGGTTAAGTCCAAGTTGGTTTGGACTTAGGTTTAGGTTAAACCTAAACATTTTGGTTTAGGTCCAAGTTGGTTTAGACTTAGGTTTAGGTTTAATTTAGGTTGAACCTAAACATTTAGGTTTAAGGTTTAGGTTGGATCTGAGGTTATTAGCCCAACATTTAGGGTTTGATTGGGTCCAAATTGGTTAGACCCAATATTTTGGGTTAGGTTGAGTCTAAGGTGGTTAGACTCAAGATTTAGGGTTTAGTCGGGTCCAAGTTAGTTAGACTTCACATTTGAAGTTTAGGTTAGGTCTAAGGTAGTTAGAACCAACATTTGGGAGTTGGTTTGGATCTAAAATGTCTAGACCTAAGAGTTTAGAGCTACGTCTAGACTTGATTAGGCTTAAACTTAAACCTGATTATGTTAAGTCTAATGTATAATCTATTATACTAAGCTTAGGTTAGGTTAAACCTAAACTTGGCTTAGATTCAAATTTGACTAACCTTAGATTAATAAGAGCAAACACATGGTTGAAAAGAGTAACCATGTTGTTATTCCCCTAACATTAAGATTTAATAGTTTAAACCAATTTTTGTGAACAATTTAGGCTAAATTGTAAATTTTCAAACATTTTAAATATTAAAATCTTGCCTCTAGATTTCTAATTTTTATTTTAAATTTTCGAAGGTTGGATTATCATTTTAGAGTTTAAATTGAAAACCCTAAATTTTCTAGTCAGTTTTCAATTTTATGCTTTTTCACAATATTTACAAAGATGGTAGAAAATTAATCATTTTTATTATAGGGGCATTCCCTAACTTAGAAAAACCAGGGAATATTCCCAAGGATGGGATGAATAATGCCTGCCAATTTCATAATTTTATAATTGGTATTTAATTTTTTATAATTAAAATACTACAGAGAGTATTTAATTAATAAAAATTGAATATAAACCATTTATTTTTAATTTTAATTTTAATATTTTTCCTCTATTCATTGAGTTTAAAGGTTCTTTTATTTTATTTTTAGATTTTTCTACACAAAGTTATGTATATTTAAAGATTTTATTTAATTTTTGGATTTAATTAAATAGGAAAAAACATAATTTCCTACTTGTCCACACAACGACCTTGTCATCCTCGGCCATGTCAAAGGCTTGTGCGACATTAATTGATTGGGCACTTTTTTACGTGAGCATCCGAGGTGGCTACGATCCAGTGCTTCTTCCCTCCGATGTTTAACAGTATGAGCTAATTGTTGTCATCCATTTTCAATACACGAAAATGGACGACATCCGGTCATCGTCCCCACGAGACATTAACCCGAAAACTGTTCTTGATCAAACACTAATATCTCCCATGATTTTTCATGAAATCTTATGAGTTTTGTTTTTAAAGCTTCATCTAATCTAGAAGAACACATCTATACGGTTGATCAAGCATGGTGTTTTGGTTTCTTTCACAAAAGACCAAACCAGAGGCAATATTTAGGGTTTTTAATCCTTACCTTATCCCAAGACGTGGCCTTGATTTTGCTTGACAGACACGATTGTGTTGACCTCATGAAGCTTGTCCTTGGTTCAATTTGAAGTGAAATCAGCTCTAACTATATAAGCTAGGACAAAAGGTGGCTTCGTTTGGTCTTGAGTTATGTTAGAGGACTTGGGGAGGCTCAATTTTGATTGGGAATTCGTGAAGCTTAGGGAAGCTTTAGGAAGGATTGGTTTAGAGATTTGGTAGGGTTTATGTCACACCCAAAATTTGTCCTAGATTTGGGTTGGCAAATTAAGGTTTTGTGGTCATGGTCAAGGCTTGGAAGTATGGGGTTTCAATTGCCTAGGAGAAGGGGGAAGGCGCGGGGGATTTTTTGTCTTGGGAGCCAAAGGTTTTCTCTTCTTGCATGGCTCCCGGGTTTGCCCTTCTTATGGCCATGAGAGGGTAATGAAGAGGCCAAATGTGGCCCGAGGGAGTTCTTGTGACTCCTTAGGGAGGTTTACAGAAGCACGGGTAGGAGTTAGGTGGTAATTCCAATCTTTTGAAGTTTTGACCCTATGAGCTCCAGTGGAGAAAAGAGAGAGGGAATTCATGGCTTGGACAAATTAAGGAGAGCTTAGGTGAGATTTGTTGGGCTTGGCAAAAGTGTTCTTTGACCCAAGCTTGAAGGGACTTGGGTTAATTGGACTTAGATTTCAAGTACGAGAAGGGGTAGGTAGACATAACTTCACTTATCCTTTCTTTTTCTTTATTTTTTTTATTTCTCGTTTTGGTTTTATTTGGAATATGGGTAGGGTATGTGTCATCATTGAACCTGATAAGTTATCTTAGATTATGGATGAAGCATTGTTGAATGGGCCATGGGCTTAGACCATGAGCTTGGACCATGGGTTAAAACCTTGAACTTTAAGCTTTAGGGCTAGGGTTTTAGGGTTTTAACCTAAATCTAATGGATCTTAATTTCATTCTAATTAATTAATTAGTTAATTTATTGATTAATTACTAGAATGAAAAATTGACCATATGACTATAGGTTAACCTTGGTGGTTTAGAATTGACTAGTTGACCATGGTGTGTGTTTATAATTAAATATTCTCAAATTTCTAAAAATAGGTATGGACTCTCAATACATAGTGATATTTTAAATAAGCCTTTTCAAAGTCAGTTTAATTATTATAATACAATAATTATACTTTTTACAAAATTATTTAGAAAAGTCATTAAAAATGAGTATTCTATAATTAAAGCGTTCATAATAATTACATGATTAATTTGTAGTATATATATTAGTTACAATTCAACTACATTTATTTCATGTTTCCCAACGTTATTCATAAGCAAATTTTCTAAGATACCAAACTATATGTATAATCTATTTAATTAAAAATAATTTTGTTTGTTTAATTATCTTACACCATAAATCCTTTATTGTAAATATTTTAATGGCCTCATTTTATTGTTTCCATATATGAAAAGTAGAGGAGTTTATCAAAAGCTTAAAATTAATTAATAATTTAAATGATTTATATAAAGTATTCAATTAATTTTTAATAAAAATTACATCATAACTATTAAATTTATTTTAAGGTAACCGCGATATGAGAAATTAATTGAAATTTGTATTATATTTATCTCAAATTAAAGGCAATAGTTTTGGAAAAATTATTTCATACGAACACCGCATGCAGAGATATATGCGGTGTCTGATCTGGACTGCTCATCATACTCTATTAATTTTTTTTTTTTAAATGAAAATAAGTCCCACCGAAATATAATTTTTATTATGATGAATGGTCCAGATCGAACACCGCATAAAATAATTTTCATAATTTTGAGGGCGTGTAGCTAGGGGTGTAAACGAGCTGAACATGAGCGAGCCATGCTCAACTCGTGGTTCGACTCATTAAAAAATATCACTGTTCGTGTTCGGTTCATTTATATTTCGACTTAACGAGCTGAACACGAGCTGTTCACGAACAAAGAGTCCTTTTAACAGCCCTAATCATGTAGCCATAAGACGATAAGGGTTTGAACAAGATTTAAAAATTATTATTGATATTAAACATCATTTGAATCTAATTTAAGAATTTTTATTCTATTTTCTTAATCAATATTTTAATTGATTATAAATCTTTGTAGCATTGTAGTCAATTAGATTTTTTTAAAATACTACTTTTATATATATAAACTTGATGAGTAGTATTTCGAGTCAAAACTAGTCGAACATGAAAGAACACATCTTTGTTCGTGTTCAGCTCGTTAACTTATCTAACAAAATTAACGAGCCGAACACGAGCTTTTAAACAAGTCAAACACGAGCTGTTTGCGAAGGAGTAGTTTTGCCAGCCCTACGTGTGATTTCCTTTGAATTTATAAAACCAAGGGTATATTCGGCATTCTTTCCTCCCGCGCTCCTGCTCCATTCTATAAATGCTGGAGCCAGTCATTAGACTGCAGAGGGCGGTAAGAAAAGCTGACGGTGGGAGCTTGGCGAACAAGCAGATTATTCTCTCCTTTTGCAGCTTGAGATGCTCTATTGAAACCCAGCGAATAAACCCTAGGCGGGAGGGCCTTCGCCAACCTTTCGTTGTAAGCAATCCGCTCGTATTTCTCTTCCCTTTTCTTCGTCCGATCGAATGCGATGCTCCATTCCTACCCTCTTTGTTTTAGCTTAATACTATCATCCTAGATCTGTTCCGATTGTTATCTTGCAATGAGCTGTTGATTTTGGTCTATTAATATTAAGGCTCTCTTATTCAGGGTTTTTTCTATCTATAAACTTTTTTTTTTTCTTAAGGATTAAATGTATTTTTTCTTTGACAATGTCACTTGTGAGCTTCGATGAACTTTAGCTAGGTTGATTCATGTGCGAAGGTACATTTATATAAAAGTTTTGTTAGCTGTCCTGGTGATTCAATACTAATATGTTTAATCTGTTACGATCATTTCGCCGAATAGCAGATTATGAACTCTTTGACGATGTCTATTTGGTCTGATGTTGCTGATTTCTTGAAAAAGGAATGTGATATTTTAATTTCTTTAAATTATATTTCGTGTTTAGATGTAGTGGATTCCAAAGAACATCTCTATGACATGTCTACGGTGTTATCGTTGATGAAATTTTTGCTAAGGCGATAATTGCATGCAGAAACATATTTATGAGGCATTTATTTGTAAGATTTTTTGAATAATAACACATGCTTGCACATATACGACATTTATTCATTGATTTCTTTTTCTTTTTATTTGAAGGCAATTTTGTTGCTCATTTGTTTATATCGATTGAGTTGAAACTGTATTGCAATTGTTGCTGATTAAAAGGTTATATTATGAATCTGCTTTGCTAGATAAAAAAGACAGTTGTTTATTAGTTAATTTTCTGATTTCATTAGCTTATGTGGCCAATGATTATTAAAAGTATTTTTTCCCCTTGATATTTGAAATTACTGATTTAACTATTAGATTATTTCTACCCAGAGTTTGCATAACTTAAAAATACACATGGGAGGGGAAGAAGTATGCACATTTTTATGTTGGAATTTTTATTGATATACAATTACATGCTCGTTAAACCACTAAATCTAAATTCAAAAGCTAAAGAGAAATTTGAAAATGGCTGGTCTTCCTAGATCCAACTACAATTATGAATTCTTTTCGTAGGATTGCTTTTTTCTATAACTTATTCTTTTAGTGATTCTTACTAATAGTATATACATATGAAATATGTTGGGTCCAGATTTTCCATGGTGATGTGAGAATCCTACTACAAGATTTACATGGTTTTGGTAGAGCAAAAAATAGAGAGAGAAAAAGTCTAGAGAGACAAAGTTTGAGTACGTTTTTGCCAACTTGAAATGCTTGCAATGACTTTCTATCCTTCAAAATTGCTATTTGACCTAGAATTTCAGGGGCTTTGAATGTTATAGGATAGGGCACACTTTGACCTCATAAAAACGAATAAAGAAAAAAATACATAATAGGATAATTTTAGATAAGTGGACACAAGCAACATAGCTTTGATAGGCACATATAGAAATATCAGTTAGAACATTGATTTGTACAAATGGACAACTTCTTAGGCTGGTGACTAGGAGTCACTAATAGAGTAAATGAGGTTGCTAGCTTTCTAAAATGAATGCTGACCTTTTGATGAAATCGTTAGTTTGATATATGCATGGGCAAGTATCTTCTGTTGACCAGGTAAGTAGCTTCACAAATTGCAGCGAGTGTTCTTTTTTATTGGGCAAGTAACCCCTTGAATTGGGATGAGCTCATATCAACTATGATTTCTAGCAAGTGCATCTTTATCAGGTGAATGTGTCCTTGCCTTTGAATAGCCCGTCTTAACCTTTGACAAGTCTCAATCTTTAATGGATGTACTTTGGTATTTTATGAGGGTACTTTGGCATTTGATGTGCACTCGATCCTTTGATGAGTGCATCTTGGGTGCCTCTAATGAGTACACATTATTCCTTGATGAATGCGCATTGACTTTTAATGAGTGCACCTTAATTTTTTATGAGTACGTTCTGATGAATGAACTTGTATCCTTCCTCACCTCATGGTATTAATAAATCAAAAGATATGAATTTCCCAAGTTTGCTATACACTTTTATAGAAAAAACAGGTTGCAAAAAATAATATTCATGCACCATCATTTCATTTGATATATTAACCGAGTTAGGTCCAAAATCCAAGTTGGTTTGTAAGTTTTCAAGTGTTTAGGTACCATAATAGCTTGTTATCGCCAACGACCATGATAAACCATTAGTTTTATATAAAGGTATAAGAAGTGGGATTGCAATCATGAAACTATAACTTCCTAATTCATTTTTAGATGCCTAATGACAACCTTTTAAAAAAACCGGTAAAAAAACACATATTTTATTTTCGCTAACGCAAAGCATCAAGAGACAAAGAAATTTTGATGTTTATGTGTATTATATTTACACAATAGATCATAATCTTAAACAGTTCATCCATTTTGAATATGTGAGTAAACAACGATATAAAAGATGACTGGCACTTGGTGTGAATTTAGTGTGTTTTCTATTTTCATTTAGTATGTATTCTATTTTTTTTTTAACAACCACACCCGGTGAAAAACATCAAAGGGGAGGATCAATGATCCAACAGGATCCTAAAATATTTTTAGAAGACTTCTTGGTCTTCCAAAGACTTTCCTAAAAATAAAATATAAATATCAACAATTTTGAAGCATGTGAAATGTTTTATAACTTTCTAGCAATCTCCAAACAAGTTCAATTACATTTATAAGTAAAAGAATTAGTAAGACTTAAAATCTCGTTTCAAAATTCAGTAACAAGATTTTAGGATTCAATAATTGTAGATAACAAGGAAAATGACAGACCAAAATCATCGTGCTCCTGGTTCTATGGATGAAATAATTTAATATTTACATATTATATTACAATTAAAATTAATTAAAAGAACAAAATCCTACAACATTACTCATATAAATACATTGAAGCCTTCGTGGATTTTGAAATGACTAGCAAAAACAGGATGGAACAAAATTTTCAAAGGAACAAACTCACCAAATTTAAATTCTTTTGTGTATATAAAGCTCCCGTCTTCTAGAAAAAAATAGCAAAATAGTATAATGCCAATGACATCATCTAGTTTCAAAATACACTAAGCAAGAGGGAAAGATTTGTAATGTTGCCTTACCTAAGAACACGAACCGGGACGGATGAAAATTCCACTATGAGATGGCGTAAACTATTAAAGAGTGTTTTGTGAAGGAAAAGTTTAAGCTAATTATTGTTTTGCTGCTCACTCCAAATACATGTAAGCACTCCAACATCAAGCAAAAGCATTCGAGTAAACAATGACGCACTCACATTCACGTTAGATAGAAACACATAACCTATAACATCTGAAATACATATAGATACAAATTGAAACTAAGTAGTCATAGCCAACAATAACATTCGACTATACTCTCCATAAACACCAAACAATACATACATTTTTTTATTGACACTTAAAAATAATTTTTTGGTGTTCTGAAAATTTTTATAAAAATTACCACCCCCACTAGGTGTTACTCACCACTGATTGTCTTTATCATCCTCTGTCATCACCAGAAGCCACCAACTTCTTTATCCACCATCGCCAAATAAACTAAAAAAATTAAAAAAAACAATCCCATTTTGCTCTTAACGTATAACAAAATAAAATTCACTCATCTATACTCTCAACATTTTATCATTAGTTCTAAGTTTTGTTTTGAAAAAACAAGAATATGAATATTCTATCAATGAAACCGAGTTAACTACAATATATTAAGTTAAATTTTAAGTTTTCCTAAACTAAATATTATGTATCATACAAAACCTAAATTTTTTAAGATGAAATCTCTTTAATGTGATGATATAATAGATGGTCTATCATGATTGAAAATTTATTATAATCTGATAATTTATTGTTGAAATTCAGTAAAATGGGATAAAGTTTTATTAATTAAATATTTTATTAAAAGATTATGATCAACATTGATTGAGGAACCATTGAAAATTTTACATTCTTAGTTAAATATGTAAGTAAAAGCTCTATGATAAATTGTGTTTGTATTGCTAGAGATAAAACTTGATTTTTCTTATGCCAAAAGCTTCCAAAAAGTTGATGCACGAGTGAGATATACATATAATTCTTGAAACATAATGTTGAACTCTTTCAAGAGATAAAATCATATAATTTATCTTAGGAGGGAAAATCATTCATATTGCATTGATTGATTACATAAGTTTTCATTTCGAATGTATATTTTCATTATATGAAAATAATTTAAAATTATAGAACCTGAAAATTGAAATGCTAAAACAAAGATTCTAATACTTGATATTGAAAGAGTTAAAATGATTAAGCACATGCAGTCACATATAACTAAGAAAATTAAATATGGAAGAGTGGGAATTATTACAATTAACATGTGTGCTTCATAAGATTAAACATTCTAACTGAACTTTATGTGAATGCATATATAAAATAATAAGCAATTACACTAAGTCATCAAATATTCAATATTCATTTTTTCCTAAAAACTCTATGACAAATAGTTTGTTTAATACAATTGCATACTAAAAATATATATAAAGACATTCAAAAAGCTGTTGAATCTATATTTATGATCCAAAACTCATGCAAATTAGAATTAACATTTTCAACAAATCAACAAAGTTTATTATTTATTTTATCCTGAAAAGCTTAACATTCACCTCATACAATAAACTTGTATACAAGAAAAAAATATAATGTCACTAGGCAAGTTGCTATATAAACTATATTTATAAACTAAATTCCAAATCTTAAAAAACACTATCACACCAGTTCTAGTCATCTAAGTTGCTCCACAAAGGCGAGCCAAAATGCAACATACCACTTGATGGATCCTCGGTATTAAAATTAACAAGATGATGAAATAGAGATTTGGTAAATGGAGTAGGTTGGTCAAGAGAATGAAGAGGTTGAACAAATGTAGAAGGTTGCTCAAAAGTATGAAGAATATTATCGTGCAAAGGCATATTGAGATCAGTGTAATGAGGAAGGATGCATTGAGTAGATGG